CTGCTCCCAAGACTATCAGGAGGAAGAGTTGTCGAAAACCCTGCATGGTCTCAGGAGTGCACCTTCTAGTAGGGCAGGTACACAGCAATATGGCGGCACTGGTACCGTGACCTGGTTCCACTGAGACCACTGTATTGCTTCCAAGACTGTGCAAAGAGCAACACATCAGGGAGGAGGGAGTGGAAACACTCCAGTGGTCTGTTACAGGAGGGAGGAGTGGTGCCACCGTAACCAAGTGAATGCCCCATTGTTATGGCAGATTTCTGGGTACCTCCGATTCCTCCCTCCCCCTCACCCAACAACCCGTACAGCAATACAAGGCATTAGTGAGTGTGATGGAATTGCAGACAGCAGTGAGCCAGGCAGCACACCTGGATGCTGAAGGTTGTCGGGCCGGCATGGCAGGTAAGCAATAACACTTTTAAACGTGGTTTAATTTTAGGTGTGAGCCTCTTAATTGTGGAAGCCAGTACACGAGACCCTCTGAGTGCCACATGTTGGCTGTCCATCCCAAGGCTTCACTTCTCCCTTCCAAACTACGCAGATCAGGATTTTCTTGGTGCCATCTTGTTCCAGGTCCAAGACTCGGGTCGTAACACCAAAAAGTCAAACTATCATTTTCAGGAGGTCAGCAGTCCCAGCCCCCACACCCTTCCCCATTTATCCCAGTAGAAGGCTGCTGCCAAACCTGCGTCAAGGTCCAACCATTTGGTCACATGACCTTGGCTACAGACCAGCGGCAGATAAAATCCCAGACTGAACATTTGTAGTAGTTACCTGCCCATCCAACAGCGGGATATGAAGAAGCGGGAAGCCGTCCATTAGTGGCTGGTGCTCACCCAGGGAGGACATTGCTCTGCTTCGTGTGGACCTTGTGTTCCTGTCACAAAGACATTTAGTTATAACGGGGAGAACACAAAGGACGGCCATTAGTTCTAATGGCGGGAACACATTGGTTACCCTCCACCCATGTCTAATTCAGCTGGATTGGGTACCTGGCTTCAGGTCGGCAGGATGAAGTAGACAACAAAGCCTTCCTGGGTGCTTTACCGAGGGGGGTGGCAGATATTGACCTACAAGGGAGTCACAATTGTCACATCACATATTGTTATAGCAAAAACAACAACAACTTGTCGTTATGGAAGATTTGTAGCAATTCACATAAGACACCAGACAGGAGCATAAAAAAAAAAACCCCAAAGATATTCCGCAGCGTCCCCATCAAATGCAAGGCGAAGCCCACAAAGCATCACCAGGCCAGGGCGACGCCACCAATCCTAGGAAAGCTCAAGATGACAAATCTGGTGAGAATGCAATTCAGCAATGTGCGGGAACGCTCTCACCGAGAGGAATAGATCAGAAGCTGGGGGGGGGTCCAAGGTCAGGTTTTTAAATGCAGGGGCTGACAGACAGGACAGACCACAGACAGGACAGACACTTTTGAGTCTACAAGTACTTTAAAAACTTGGACTATGTGCTCCGAGGGGGAAGGTGGGTCCATGACACTCTGGGCTCCCAGAAATGGGACGGCAGTCATGCAACTTGGAAGAGGACTGGCACCCCTTTAAAAGGTGGAGTTGGCCTTTGCCCCAAACCCTGATCCTGCATCAATGTGACAATTGCCCGGGGTCCATAAGAGGTGTGTGTGTTACTCCTTCTCTTACAACCCTGCCAACCCCACCCTTCCCCCTCTTCCATCCTCTCCTGAAAACTGAGCCAACGAGCTTGAAGTTTATGGAAACTCCCATCACCCTTACTTACCTCATCATGGCGGGCTTCTTGGCGCTGTCACCAACAAAGGATTTACTTTTAGTGATCTGAAAGGGAGAAAAGAAAAAAACAAAAAGTTGATTTGGAACCAGACAGTGAAATGAAGACAATACGGCACCATCAATGCTCACATGTTCTTTGCGCAGTTACAAAATAATAAGCAAACGTTCTTTCTACCCATTTGAATGAACGCACCTTGGGGACCGTCCTGCTCTTCTGGGTGGTGGACGTCACTTTAGCGTGGACGGGGTCGTGGTATTCTGTAGTGGTCGTCATCTTAACTGCAAAAAAAAAAAACGAGATTTGTCTACAAGTGCGAACGGTCATCAGATGTCCCAACCTTTGTGTTGAATGTGAATTACGGGAACTGTAACCAAAACTATCCTAAAACTGGACAAAGACAACACGCGCCAATGGAAACGTGCCAACCCACAGCACCGGTAAAGCCGAGAATAACCAGGAGAGAAGGTCCGGGGCCTTCCGCCATCTTGCCCTCACCCCTTTTGCTGTTCTTTCTCACAAGTTTGACTTCGCGCAGCTCTTCTTCCAGACTATCCGCCTGCAACAAAGGAAGTTTAAATAACCAAAGAGCACAAAAAGCCAAAAATGCAAACCGCTCCCAGTCGAGCCGGAAGGCCTCACCTTTGCCAAAGCCGCTTCCTCCACTTTGTTTGCTTCCATCAGCTCTGGAAGAGAATTAGTGACAGGACGTCAAATATATTCAATCACATAATTTTAAGGCCTCATTCACACGAGAAACGGCCGGCAGGTACAGCTCTGTGCGGCGTGCACGGCCGTATCGGGCAGCTCCCGGGAAGGACAGGTGCTGCATGTGATTAGTACGTAGGCCCCGTCCTTCTCTATGGGAGTACGCGGCCGTACGCTCACCCCAAGTGTAGGTCCATATGGGTGCGGGTGTCCCGGCTCGGACAGACAGGATCCATCCCGTCAGCGTACGAGTACAGACACATGCAGGGCGGGTGAGCGTAGGGCGGCGTACTCCCATAGAGAAGGACGGGGGCTCCGTACTAATCACACGCAGCACCTGCCCTTCCCGGGAGCGGCCCGATACAAGCTCTATGTGCTGGCCTTTTCTCATGCGAATGAGGCCTAAGGCTGAACTCCGGGCAGAGTTCGGCTAGAACAGGCACAAAGCACAAGCATCCGTCGCTCTGCTTTCTCCTCCTATCAGCACATGATCTGATTGGCTCCTCGCCTTTCTTACACTCCCATGTCTGTTCTAGAGGGGGATGCCGGGTCAGATTGGGGTACACACACCTAGGGCTGCCACCTGTCCAGGATTCAGTCCGGGTTTCATTGCAGCTGAAACCCAGACACAAGATGTCAGGCAGACAGGGGCAACCAAAGATCGGGGCTACTGGCCCCCCAATGAAAATAGTCTCAACTGTGATATTTACATACAAATGGGTGGCGCTATTTAAATATGAATAGGTCGTGACTCATTCTCCCCAAAAAAATGTCCGTGCGTCGCCAGTGTTCAGGTTTTGCTTGAAGAAAAGGTGGCGACCCTACATACACCGCTTGTATTATAATGCATGTAGTGATTTATGAATGAGTACAGAGCTGCATTCATGTGTATTATACATGTCTGGTCCGCTTTAGATCCACGCGTTGCATACACTACATTCTAAGGGCGGCCATAGACCGCTAAACGTGTCATGTGACTGGGAGTCCGAGCTTTTCTTCCTTCAAACGGAGGATGGGTCCCGGATCAGATTTCCCGGCAGATTGAACAGTATGGGGGGGCTGCTTATGGTTTAGAAGCTCCCATTATATCCCCCTATGGTGGCTACGATCACCTTCTCATCACTGGACTCACTGTAATAGTCTCCGACCTTCATCTGTCGGATGGACACCGGCATCTTCAGAAGCTCCACCTCCATGATCTGGTCTGGGAGCCCGTCGAGGACCTCCAGCTCCTTCTTCACCTCCTCAATGCGATCCTTTCCTAG